CTTAGGATTAATTTTGGAAAAATTAAAAAATTTTAAGAGATAAAATTTAAGATTAAAGTAGACATGGTACATTTTTTAGGAAATGATGCTTTTGAGTGATTGATATCGTTTTGAGACATAACCAACTCTTTATCTTAGAATCTATAAACTAATGTCTATTTTAAGTTCATAATTCCTTTAATACTTAATGTCGACTTCGAAGTTAATAAATAATTTATATTTTTAAATAAATAAAAATTTACATATAAATCAAATCTTAAAACAATTTCAAGAGTTTCATGAATGTCGGTAACGACACTAATCATTACCGATTACTTCCATTAGGTAATTGCCATCCTTTTTTTTTTTTTTTTAAGTAAGTAGTATAGATTTAATAGATCGAATGACTCGACGTTTACGATCATTCTTTGTTTTCTTTTTTCGACAATGTCTTATTCTCTTTAAGCTTCCAAGATGGGGTTTTTCTTCTCGTGCTTAAAGTACCATGTCTTTGGTAAAATGTTATTTTATTTTCTGCAACTGAATTGAATGATGTAATTATTTAGTACTTACATCAACTTTTTAATCAATTATCTCTATTTTTATAATTTTTTTTAATGTTTATATATTTTTCTTCCTTTTTTTTCAACCAAGTGTTTCTATTATTATTTTTTCAACCAACCGTCTCTACTTTTATTTTTTTAGTGTATATATCTTCATATTTTTTTCAATTAAATAATTCTATTATTAAATTATTGATGACGTGTGCGGTAAATGGATATCTGCCTTTTTTTATTGTAGGATCCATTATTCATAAAAAAAAAGGAACAATAAATAAAAAGTATTGAATGAAAAAAATAATAATAATGAAGATATAAACCATGTTTTATGAGGGAAGTTTCCTACTTTGTATGGGTTATTATAAAAATAGTAACTCAAAAATATCAATAGAAATGAGAATTTTCCCTCCTAAGATATGGTGTCACTCACTTTCTCTTCTTTTTTTTATATATATAATTATTTTTGAGCTTAGGATTTTAAGGTTTTTAATAAAACACATATATCCAAAAATAATAAAAAGAAGAAAATTTTTATATATTTTTAAATTTTGATTTTGATTTTTGAAAATTTCAATGGTTGAGTAATTTTGGAATTTTTATTTCTTAAAATCTTTGAACAAGTTTGAATTATTATTTTTTAATTATATTCTCATTTAACTCAAGAATAATTTTGGGATGAAAGATATAATATTGTCAATTTGGATGGAAAAAAAAAAAAAAAAGAAAAGAAGCAAACAAACAAACTTGAATGAAATACGTATTGAAAATTTTGATACCATATAAGAACATAATTGGCACAATTAGAAATGTAAAAATATATTAGAAACTTATCCAATTATGCAAAAGACAGACTGAAGTATTTATCATAAATTTAATGGAAAAGGCACATTAAAAATCAAAATCCAAGTGTTGCGAGTGCAGTAGAAGTGAAAGGAAGGTAGTAGGGTTAACTCCTGCAAGTTAAGAAACACATGAAAAAGGGATTTAATACAAAATCGAAACCCACGATGGAGGCACTTGATAAGATAGTCGATGTAACCTAAATGAATTCATGAACCTATATCTGTTTATGTTTGGCTAGTGCAAATCCTTTCGTAATCTGTTGCTCTAAAAATCAAATACCTAGCATGCCTTCTTTGGTTAAGCAAACCAAAACCCATAACCAGCCAGGCTCTAGAGGCCATGTCAGCACCTACCAAGCATAGAGTATATTTATGCGACTTGCTTAACAATTGCCGAGGCATTCAGCTCACGAATTAAGAGCAAAGATTGCACAATGGAACATCTATACCTTGGTGGTCTGATCTGCATGTGCACGATCCTTTTGTTTTGACAACGCCCATAAGATTTCATGTTGTTTTAGCTTTACAAACAGATAAAGAAGGGGAAGGTCGAGGTGAATCTAGTGAGCCTGCTCTTGTATCTTGAGACAAAAGACACAAATGATGGTGATCCTACGGTTGAGTTAATGTAGGGATAATTTTAGCATTTAACATGAGGAAATAAAAGAGGCCATGCCAACGGCAAGGAACATAAATGCTGAAATATATATATTTTTTTAGTGGTTAATAACATCGAAACTTATTATGTACAAACAGGTACATGGTAACCATGGAAAGGCCTTTTTTTTTTAGACAATATTAGTTAGATATTTGTACTACATTATGGTCGGATAACCATTATATATATAAAGTTAACGATTTATGTAATGTAATGTGAGCAGAAATCTTGCTTCGATGATTACTATAAATCAAATTTATACATTAAACGAAATCGTTATATATATATATATATATCATACTTTGCAAATTTAGAATATATAGAATAAATAAATAAATAAGATACAAGAAAAAACCCTCCTGAATTACATAAAATATATTGAAGTCAATAAATTAAAATAAACATTATAATAAAATTGATTCCGATAAATTTTAATTATATATATATATATATATATATATATATATGCAACTATGCTATTCTCCAGCAACCACTCTGCCTCCTAGGCATATAAACTCAGTATGACCAACTTGCTCACTTTGCATATGGCAATTCTGCTTCCTAGGCATCTAATTTCCTAAGTTGTGATAACAGAGCAAGCAGCAAAAAGCAATGAATTCACACTATTCAAGTAAACCAATTTTACAGCATGCTTGACAAAACTGTAGCTGCTATAACATTGGCGAGGTCAACTGATACCAGATGCATTGGGAAGAGGCAAGGTATAGTTTATTGGCTGAGTTCCAATTCCCTCCCCCCCCCCCCTCTGGAGAAATGGCTGAGTTCTAACGAACTTAATACCTCTTGCAACTCTTTATTTTTCCCCCAAGAAAAAGAAAAAAAAATAATGAAGATACTTTTACATAAGGCTAGGGTTATACACTTAATGCCAAAGAGCAGGTTGTATACATATATATATATATATATATATATATATATATAACGTAGGCTATGTTACAAGCAATATAGAAGGATCCATAACTTGTCCGAGGCATAGCCTAATGCTAGGTACTCCTATCCTATAAAGAGGACGGCTTGTATCTCAATCCTCCCTACGGAAAAGTTGTTTATGAAACAAAAGTATCTGAAAGTATGGCATGAAACTAGCAGCTGAAAATAAATTTTAAGAGAGAAGTACTATCTCCTTGAATTGTCATTTTCATCATGACTAAACAAAAATTCATCCAGCCTCCTGGATATAGACATCCAAAGGAAGTAACAAACAGAATAAAACAAAAACAAAGAAAGATGAACAGAAGGAAGTCCTATTCAGTTGTCACTTGTAACGAATACTCCTTTTCAATCTTACACTCGTAAAATCAGAACAAGGAAATGCAAAATGAACCAGATATCCTTCTTCACTTTATGAAATGTTGCTGCGAAAGAGACTGTCATAAAGGCATTGAGACACCTACAATAGAGACAAGGTAAGCAGTCAGGTACGTTGTCATGTCGCATTAAATGACAGACATAATGCCACGTTTGATGTTATCATCAAATAAAATAAAAAAAGTTGGTGATTACATCTCGTGCAGATTGGGAAAACATGATTGTTTCAGAAATATTGTTCTTAGATAATTCAAAAAATATATAAATGGTGGTCGTGTGAATGGTGCTTTTATTGACATTTCTGTTATATAATTTTTCATTTTCACAGTACTGGCAACAAAGAGCATAAATTGCCACTTTGGGCCTTCTAATCTCACTACAGTCACAATTCTTTTCATAGCAAATACTGAAAGATCATCTTAGTTAAAGGACAGGGTGGAAAAAATGACAGTTTAGTTCATAATAGCAACTAGCAAGAGCAGCCCGAAGAATAGTAGCTTGCACCAAAATTTGCATGGTAAAACAAGACTTTCGTAGAGAATCAATCACTCCATGGCTAGCAACCCTCCCTTTCACAGAAGCTCTTTTTGATAACACACGACAGCAGGACTGAATCAACCAATCAAAGTGGAGCCTAAATCTTAATGCACATACATCAAATAAATTATCTATCAACTACGATCAACAGAAATTATCGCAGCTATATGCAAAAATTCAGAATCATTATGTCCCTCCTCTCTCTCTTCTTAAAAAGACCAGTGGTGATGCACATTTTTACTTTCCTAATCAATTTCTGTCAAAACATATGCAGTTCTTGACACCATAGCACCATGCCAGCTTGATGCTAAAATAATTTCACATTTGAAATTTTAGACCTATTACCAGAACACTACTGAAGTTGAGCATCAGTGCTGATGCACATTTCTAAGACCATAATCAAGGCTTTAAGATCAACAATGTGTTGTTCTCCCCACCATAGCATGATCTTGCTTGCATTTTGTTTTGTCTCTCTTTTTTTTTTTTTTGTTTTGGAACAACGAGTAGGGAGGTCACTAAACAGAAGCAAAGAAGATATCCCAGCAGATTTTAAGTAACAATAATAAAGCTGAACTATTTTGACACCACAACTACAGAAGTTCCCAGGATCTTTAAAAATTATGCAGATAGAGAATTGATCAATATGGAGCCTTTGATTTCTTTCTCTTAAAATGTGATACACCTCATTGAGTTATCAACCTACAGCCGCCCCTGAGATTTTGAATCTAAGGAAAACCTAAACCATCCATTCTAAACAATTGGCCAATTCATGGAGCTATTAAAAAAAAAAAAAAAAAATCTAAACAACTTATGCTTTCCAGAGGCTATGGTCACGGCTTTCTGTTAGAGTTGTTTCTCGATTAAATTTTGACTGATCCTGGAAAAAAGAAAGACATTTCTTTATAATCTACGTCATTGAATTCGCTAAACAAACTGGTACATTATGCATTGTGGGAATAATATCAATGCATCATTTTCTGTTTGTTAAACAAGCAAACAAGTGGTGTGCATAAGAAGCATAAACCTCGAGAGAAACTGAAGGAAATAGAAAACGGAAACCCACCTTGAGGCACTAAAGCCCAGCTCTCAGACTCACTAGATAAGCTCGAAACCAACCTGGCTGATGCTATAGCGCTGTGCAATGGGAACATCGATTCCACGCAACTCAATTGCAATGGTAATCTATCCATTGAAACAAAAAGAAATAAAATTAAAGATTTATAACTTGATGAGATATCGAAAAGGGTCCTTTATTTTAAGTCAATTCAAGGGGAAGGAAAAGAAAAAATGTCACCTTGAGGAGCGAGAGAGACGTGTTGTAGGAAGAGAAACCTGAGTTGGAAGAGAGCTGGGTTTAAGTGAAGAGAGTTCAGGAGATAACGATTTCTTGTTGAGCTTGAAAAGTAAAGGCTGTAACCTAGAGGATAACCTGGAGACTATATTTGTGGAAGCCATTTTTGGGTTTTCTTGAAGCCTGTGTCTGTCTGTTGTTGCTTGACAAGGGTTTTACTTTGACGGGTCAGAGAGACGAAGTGAGGATGCTACGCTGCTGGATTACTGCTTTTCAAGCAACGGCAGGTCGTTTCCACATATGGCTCTTCTTTAAAAAGGCACAATCACCCCTAAACTCTGTGCCTTTCTCAATTACTACCTTGTAATTTCAAGCTTCTTAATTTCTGATTTTGATTAACAATAGCTATAAAGATTGCAATTTGTCCAACATTCCTTGAATATCCATCAAGTCGTCGCATGATTAATTAATTAATATTCAATTTTCGAATTATTATTTATTTTTTAGATAATGAACTCTTATTTCTCTTTTAAGGGATAAAACGAATGTATTTTTATTCTTTTATTGAGATTAGGTCATTTTCTTAAAATTAATATAACATGATCGAAGTTTTTTATATTTAGAATGTATCATGATAGAAGTTATCGTAAATAACAAGATTATATAAAAATAAAATAATGTGTTTAAACCTAATATTTCGTGCTAATTGATGCTGAACAATTCAACCCAAACAAAATTATTAAATGAATTTATGAGAAACTCTTTTTTTTTTTTTATCTCCCTAGACAAGTTATATATATATATTGTTTCAATTTCCCCTTGAGATTTCGTTAACACACAAATATTCCCCCTTTCATTAGAAGACGTTACAAAATTTAATGGAGGCTGGGTTTGGCAACAGATTATCGTCAGAGTACTTGTCTTTGTAATTGATAAAATAAAATGCAGAGGGGGAATTTAAATCTTTAGAAGGGGTTTTGACTCACATTGGCAACTCAAACATAAAGTAATGGTTTCAAACTAGAAATTGACAAGAGATATGGCTAGTGTGGATGTTACTTTTGGTGTTTATTGTCCCTGCCAAGATCAAGCTGCGTTGAGGACATCGTAAAACTTCAGCAACCTAGGGAGGGGGCTTTTTCTGTAGAAGCTATGATGGGAGCTCTTTTTTTCTATATATTGGCGTTTTGAATGAATTTTAGATGCCAACAACATATGGTTATCGTTGACAAAGCCAAGAATGTGAAAAGCGGGCTATTGGACTAAGGTCAACGATGGAGGAAACTTTGATTAGAGAAAAACTTCATCAAACAAACAATAATCAAACCACAAAACATTCAAGAGATAAAGATAACTTATCAATATAAAACTTAATCCTCATTATTATCCAGATTAGCAACATCCAAATAGAAAAGGAAACATTCTAATTTCTAAAATACCTTTCCAATTAAATATTTTTAAAATCAAAGTGATCTAAGTGCAGAGAGAGATCTGCTACATTGAACGTTGTCGAAATAATATAATTTCTCAAAAGCTTGATCTTATAGGCATTCTCGTCGACTCACTTTACACTTATTAAAAAAAAAAAAAAAAAACTCATAGTAAGATGCTCTAAGTCATGAGTTGAAAACTAAAGCACAAACACCCTTCCAATGATGCATAGCTTGTCTTAAAATTTGCTTTGTACTGATACAATTTTACATTTGAATTTGAAACAAAGATATGAACTTATTGCAACATTTTCGGCTTTGTTTTATTTCTTTGGGTTGAGCTTAGTTTTCTTTTAAAAACTTTATTCAAAACCACCTAATCCAAGTTCATTAGTGGATATAAATGTTGAATTTACTAAGAACGCTCCAGCATCATAATCTCTTGGTTTGAAAGGAAGTCGTCCTTGAGTTCGTCTTATCATCAGCCCACATAAGATAGGACTAGGGGAGGATGATCAAATGGATCTTCAATGATGACCAAAGCAATATTTGCTGCAGCATTTGAAAATATTCATAATTTCATCTCTGTACATCTTTAAACATGAAAGGTGGAGATTTTATAGGTTGCAATGGAAGGGAGAGTGTATTCTTGAATTTTTCATGATTGAAAATTTCAACTTCTTCAGCAGCAACAACAACTTGTTTGCTGAAATTTTTGGCACTTTCAGCACCATCAAAGTCAGCATCATTAACTTCATCGTAGATTAGAGGTTGGTCCAAATTTACAAGAAAATTAGAATTTCACATGCATCGAGCTTAAAAAGATCTTAATTATATGTTGGTTGTTAAATCCAATCCATAAAGAAACTAGAGTCATTAAAAAAAAGAAAAAAAGTCAGCTTCAAGTTCATCTTTTTGTTGCTTAGGTTGTGTTTTGGATTGAAAAGGTTCAAGTTTGCTCTTGACTTGCTCAAGTTGCACCTTGATTAGCGGTAACTCATTTCTTTTGGAGTAAGAGGAATGTTAGAACACTTGCAGCCATTAGAATTTTAATACACTTGGAATTTGCTTTCGTCAACAAGAGCTTTGATATCAAGTTAATACCAGTTTGTGAAAAATCAAGCAAATCTTATGCACACACTCTTGCTATGGCCGATTATGGCAAGAGTCAAGGAACCCTACTACAACTAATAGCTCACAAGATCACAATCACCATCTTGAAAATCAATCTAAGGATATAAGAATTGTAATCCTAAGATAATCACAAGAATGAGGTAGAAAATTTGAAAATAGTCAAGAACTTTTATTAAAAAAATATAACATTCTTTGATATTACACCGTAACACTATTTGTACCTCATTTGTTAGACATTGAAATCAGAAATCTAATATATATTGTTTTTTTCCCCGAGATCCTAGATTCAAAGTTTTTTACTCATTTATTTCATAATACATATAACTAAACCAAATCATAAATAAAATAATAATGGTCTAATCTTATTGATATGTGGGGTTGGTAAGGGGTGTGTCTAGATGAGGTTTTAATCTACGGGTGTACCTAGATGGGATGGCAACACTAACGTTTCATACATTCATGTGCAATCCAATAGTAAAATCATTTGAGGACTTGATGTTGTAATCATTATGCTTATTGTAGCCGTATCTGATTAGGGAGCAATTGCCTCAGCCACTGTCCTTTTCACCTGCATTGAATAAGATTCTTCAGTCCAGTACTGTAAAATCATCAAATTTTGAAGTATTGGATCAATAAATAAAACTAACCTTTCTTGAGGTTATTTTGCCTTTGGTGACACCTTGGTAGCTTCTACTATTGTGCCCAACTTATGAACACTTCCTACACTTAACAGAACCATAAGTTATTTTTGGCTTTCTAAGGATTTGGTAGCTCAACAATTCCTCTTCTCTCTCTCTCTCTCTTTTTTTTTTTCTTTTAGTTTATTTTTTTTAGGGAGTGATGGGACTAAAAAGGACATTCCAATATGTTTTTACGTAGTATACCCTTTATGCCTATATGTTTTAAGTGAGTAGTTGTCATTTAATTGTTTGTTGGTTTTTTGTGTTGTAAAAATATATTTGTATATATGTGTGTTTTTGCGCTATTTGTGAAGTTTTTTTCTTGTAGCTTTAGTTATTTAATTATTAAGCTTTTATTTTATATTTCGAAACTAGATATGGAGTTGTGCCTCATATGCATCACTACATAATTATAACTATCATTTACATTTTGCCTCAAGATCTAGGGAGTTAGTAGTGGTGTCTCAATGAGTTTTTCCTTGGGTAAACACTCATAAAATGTTAAGCCTTCTTGCTAGCTGCCATTAGTGATAGGTTATCGATGAATTTCATGATTGTTAATATTGTTGTGGATAGTCTTAGTGATTCTATTAAAGATTCACTAGGTCAAAAGGTATCTTTTTGAGATTTAGATAGAGCCTACCTATTCATATAGAGGCTAGAACCAAACTTTAAGACCATCATTTCCTAATTAAATGCACTCGGACAAGTCGAACATATTTGAAACCTTGGCTAAGATAGCTTAGTCTTAATGTTTCAAGATGGGTGACAAAAAAGTTCAAACTCGGTTCAAGCAAACATCGACCAAAGCATAAAAAAGTTATTAATGTGAATAATCATATCTTTAAACCTACTATAAGCAATCTCGTGAGTAAAGAAATAAAACAAAACCTCTTTTGTTACCCTTCATAGATGAATACTTTAGATCCGATTATAAATGTCTTTATTTTATATCAATATTATTTATGTTTATGTGTTTTGTGATTTTACCTAGAGAAGAATAATTCATCCTGTCAAAATGTCATTTTTTCCTAAGTGTTTACAACTCAAGCCAAAGCAAAAATGGATAACGAAGAAAGAGCTTAACTCGATGAAAACCAACGAAAGAAGTTAAGTGCTTTAAAAGTAGATGTGTCCGAGCTAACAATTTTAGTTGAGCAACATCCGTAAGTTCGTATATCTATAGAAGTGCCTCTTAATAAAAGAATGGGTCGATCATTTGTCATCCCAAGAGTGTTCACTATCATACCGATACCCACTACTCAAGTGGCGATTACTATGCCACCTTTCTATTAGCATTATGAATCCAACCAGCCATACCACACCTAGGGCTATGTATGAGTCAACTTTTTCTAAATTCTCCGATCCAATATCATGGCAACCACATCTTTACAAACTCGGGAAACTCTTACTTTGGTTTTGGCTCCTAATGAAAAGATGAAAGGAAAAATGAGCTTAGAGACTAAAACCGAGAAGCTTAATGCCATTGAGGAATGTCACAAAACCATTAAGGGCATGGACATGTACGACCTTCTTTTGATAATAGACGGATGCTTGATTCGAATATCATGATTCCTAAGAAGTTTAAAGTTTCCAAATTCTTGAAATAGATTAGGATTCAATGTCAAAGAACTCATCTTAGGATTTACTTAAACAAAATGACTAAATTTGCTTATGATGAAAAGCTTCTAATTTATTTTTTTTTATGAAAGTCTCGATAATACCGCTCTAAATTGGTTCATTGATCTTGATCAAACAAAGCTTAAGATATAAATAGATTTAGTTGAAGTATCCATGAAGTAGTATACGTATAATATGGAAGTAGCTCTCTATAGGTCAAGCTCGTAGTATATGGAGAAAGACTTAAAAGAATTTGTTAACCCTAATTTTTGTCTCTATTCTTTCCTTTTTAATTTTAAT